GTCACCAATCGAGGTGACATCATCAGTGCGTAGTTGAGTGGCGTGCAGTAGCGTAGGATAGCGTAGAGGACCAACAGTGAGAGTGCACTGGGCGTGGTGTGCGTGCGTTTTTATACCGCCGTGGTTGCCCGTGGAGGCGAACATCCATATTGGTTGGGACTTCGTTTCGCCTTCAGCTTGGTTGATGTGCAGATGACCTTTGACCTGGACTCCCGGTGTTTCCTGGCATTTGTCTGCTTGCGCTTGTGAGCGGTTCTGTCCTCAGTTCTGGTTGGCTAGCCACACGTTCTACCGGATTCAATCGATTGCGTTGGCAGTCTTTCGCCAGTAGTGTTGCGTATACTGCGTTCAGTTAGAGATGTCGATTGATTGAATTTGTTGTAGGGTACCAGGCTTCCAAAAATTTCCTGGCGTGGTTTGTACCTCCATGTGCTAGTATAATAACTTTCTCCAAATCGAAATGGTGGCCTTCTTGATCTTCGTGCGCAGAAACAAATGAGTGCGGATCATGTCTCCTGACGGCTGCTTTGTGTTCGGTGATTCGTTTACAAAGCTTCCTTCCAGTTTGTCCGACGTAGTTTTTATCGCATTCGCTGCATTTTAGCTGGATAGTTGGTTCTTCGTAAAAACGGAACCCAGTACATGCCACGCTTGAGCTGCTCAACTACACTTTGGAGAATATCAACTTCACGATTGAATTAGAGGCGAATAATAAGTTACCATTTGTGAATGCACTGGTCACGAGGAATACCGCCGGATCTCTTCAAATGTGCGTTTATCGGAAGAAGGCGCATACGGACCAGATGTTAAACTACCATAACAACCACTCGATGCATGACAAGAAGAGCTGCATTCAAACCCTATTCAAAAGAGCGGAAACGCACTGCAGCACAGCCGAATGGCGGCAACAGGAGGAAAAGCATCTATACCAAATGGTTAAAAACAACGGTTATCCGAGAAAATTCATCAGAACAAGCCTAAAGAAACGAACGTCTCATCATCAACAACAGCAGTAGCAGCAGCAGGCACCTGAGCAAGCAAACAAACGAATAGTGCTCCCCTACATAAAGAACGTCTCCGAACTAACAGGAAGATTGCTACAGTCACATGGGATCTCTGTGGCTCACAAACCAAGTGCTACCCTAAGGAAATTGATCTCAAGACCCAAAGGAAAAGTCAATCAACCCGACCAATGCAATGTCATCCATCAGCTAAGATGCAACGACTGCGATAAAAACTACGTCGGACAAACTGGAAGGAAGTTGTGTACACGAATCACCGAACACAAGGCGGCCGTCAGAAGACATGATCCGCACTCATTGGTTTCTGTGCACGAAGATCAAGAAGGTCACCATTTCGATCTGGAGCATGTGAAGATCTTAGCACATGGAAGTACAAAACACGCCAGGGAGTTTACGGAAGCCTGGTACTCCACAACGAATTCAATCATTAGACACATCGAACTGGGACGCAGTATACGCAACACTACTGGCGAAAGACCGCCAACTCAATCGATTGAATCCGGTGGAACGTGTGGCTGGCCAACCAGTACTGACGGCAGTCTCGCCACAGCGCAAGCAGACAAAAGGCCACGAAACACAAGGAGTCAAGGTCAAAGGTCACTTGCCCATCAATCATGCTGAAGGCGGATCGAAGTCCCAACCAATAGGATTGCTCGCCTCCACGGGCAACCTCCGGCGGTATAGAAAACGCACGCACACCACGCTCAGCGCACTCTCACCGACGAGGCTCCTCTACGCTATTCGACGCTACTGCACGCCACTCAACTACGACAAAGTGATTATTCCACCTCGATTATTGACGAAACGTTTGCAACCAAATTGGCAAGCTCAGCGAACAGTTTAACCGCCATATTTGGGCTTCATACCTGATCAACACGGTCGACGACCAAACACGCCCATATTGTGGATATTCAAAAAATGCCTCCACCGTATATATATATATATATATGTCTGCAAGTGATCGAAGGATAAAATGTGACGCCACACGATAAATTAAAGGAGTCTCATACGACTTTTGTACACTGTGTTGGTAATTGTAGTAGTCTGTGCTGTCGACTCACTCACGCTGCACAGATTAAACAATCTCAGGACTAAATATACGCGTCCTGGCTTCTGACCGATTTTCTCACTGTGCCTTCGCGTCCCTCCACATAACTAACACATGTACGCAAGACTAGCGTCCAAGGTACTCACGTCGGTAGTGAACTAGTTTTCTACTACCAAAAAGGGAGTATGGTGGTGGAAGGATACAAAAACCATCGGCCGACGACGATGATGTGACCCCACACGAATGAGGCCGCACGAGCGCGCCGAAAGTGGGAACACTGCAGGGCACATGCAACCTGACTGGTTGCTGTTGCGCATACAATCGGCAAATAGTCACCAGAAAACGATAGGGAAGACGGGATGAGAATTAGAATGAATAAGTGCCATCGCAGTCAACAGATGTAGGTTGAAACATCACTTAACAGCCACGTCAACAGTGGGATTGACGAGTCACACGCAATTGTTTTCGCTAAGTCCGGATATCCGGTACGGCTATAACGAATCCTGAACTAGTAATTACGAAAAAGGTCTTGACAAAACCTTCAATGGAAAATTAGGGGATACACAATCAAGGCACTCTGACCACACAACTTAACAAAGAAAGATCTAGAAGTTCACATGCGACAAAAGCTCCCGGAATTATGGAAATAATCTCGTTGTCTGGTTCCCAACTAAACGTGCTTTAACCGACTCAAGGCAAAATTGCTCCGAGCCTATGGGCTGTAGGCTGGGTGGATTCACATTTCCGTTACAGAAACGGTTCGATAGGCTTGAATGAGAGGGCCGCCTTAAAGCACGGGCTGCACAGTCGCTGTTGTCAAGGTATAAGTACAATGTGAGTGCGTGTTAACGTGTGCCGAACGCATGTTCTGCATTGATATGTACAATCTGGCTGCTTTCGATGCGAATGTCAGCTAGTTCCTTGCCCGTCGGTTGCATCTAAAATAACAGGTGGCTGCGGAGTGCATAGTATTCGCGACAATACCAGTCTCAAAGTGTCGTTCATACCGACCAGGGAAAAACAGCAGCAGTGTCGTGTAAAACCTCCAATCAAGCACAGAGTGAATGAACCCTTTGTCTGCGGCAAAAACCGTCTGTACGCTGTGCCTGCAACAATGGCTTGCTAGCTTTAATAAGCCGCTCTGCGAATGCGAACAGTAGCAGAAAAAGACCCTGAGAGGCGTGCAGGCAATAGCTTTCAAAGCTAGTTCAAGCATCCACGTTTGGAACAAGGCCAAAGCCTTTTGATTACACAGTTGCATAACTGTTCCGAGCGAATCCGTGCGTTGGACTGACTCCTTTGAAAGCCTTAGCTTTGTAGCAGCGCACTTCCTCTCTTTGAAACGTGTTGAAGTGTAACGAGTTGACATAGCCACTGATTTTTAGAGACGCTGGACAAGTTGATCACATTACACTTGGATGGTGGAGATGAACAAGTTTCCAAACTGAAACATATAAACAGTGAGAAGCTAGTCAAGGCTCGGGAAGACTCGAAACCTGAGAGTGAGTGAGGCATAATGCTGACTAAGACAAATCCGAGCAACAGATGTAAAACATGTGACTACCGTCTAACAAAAGAATGTGAAAACCCGCCAAAATAGGGGAGGCACCGTAAAGATGTCGCAAAGGAAAAACGACATGAAATCTGGGAATGTAGACGCTGTGTGCCATCAATCGAGGAAACAATTGCTTCCCAACTGGAGGGTCAAGTTTGGGCTACACGTTGTGTGATTGGATTGCAACGCGCAATCTCAATGTAATGGACTGTGGACCACATTGAAGTGAACCTTAGTCACGGCGATCACTGGGACCGTATTCAAAGTAGATGGAAATTGGGTGTTGCCCACCCGAAAACACTGCACAACCACGACGCGTTTCGATGTAATTTCATCTCATCAGGTGGAGACAGCAGGCCTCGATCCCGCGACCATTGGAATAGTAGCCGAAACCTCAGCGTTCGTGCCGCAATACACGAGAACAGAAAAAAAGGACGCAATACAGGTACGCCACCTGCATCACCGGTAAAGGATGGACATGACTCTGGGAATCTAGCCGCCGGCTATTGTTCCGCAAAAACGCTATTAGGTATCCGAAATGAGGTCGTGGTTGGAGCGAGGGGAACAAAGAAACTTAAAACACAAACGCCACTGAGGTCTGCTCATTGCCATGGTAACAAGTGTAACCAGTTCTTGGGCCCGGACTAAGGAGCTGAGAAGCTCTTTCGATTGATTCTGTGCAATTTGTGGTGAAACGCTTAGCGTGTGCAATATAATTGCGATCTGCTCAGCCATAGTGTCAGTTCAGCAGACTATCAGACTGCCAGGTGAAACGACATGGGGAACCCAGCCAACTGAGATGAAAAAATGCCTGAGAAAAAGTTGGTGAAACGATACATTGAACAGAGTAAAAATGCAAGCAGGAATGTGGAGGGGAAGTAGACTGTACAAAAAAACATACAATGCAACGAAGAGATATACGTCGACAGATATGTTGGACAATTTAGCCTGAGGACAAGTCCACCTGGGGCAGCGCGCATCACTGAGGGGGTGAACACAAGAGAGGAAACGAACAACTAATACAGCAAGTGGGAATGTATGAGCGAAACTAATTCACATCAAATAAATAAACAAACGATTTATTCGCGAAGGTGCGAGATACGTGATTTAAAGTAGAAAGTGTTTGGAAAGTTCAGCTAAAATGAGACTGCAACAGGACAGGGGGCAATTAATAAAAATATAGACACAGGAGTTGACCAAAACATGGCCATTGTATAGGTAACAACCGCAGTGACGAACCAATAAATGAGGTTCATCCCGTGGTGCAAGAGCGGGTTTCCGATCCAGTAATACCGGAGCATAGAAGGGAAAACACCACAATCGCGACGATCGAATCTTATCGAAAAATCCAGACGGATCCATTCTCCGTCCCCTCCAGCGTCAGCTCACCCAGTCTAGGGAAATGTATTGTAATATATATATATATATATATATATATATATATATATATATATATATATATATATATATATATAGTAGGCAGTGCCCCATGCTGAGGCTGACGTTGCATTCGATGCTTGTTCACTGGAGTTGGACTAAACCAACCCACACTTAAACTAGATCTTTTTAAGCTGGATAAATTTCATTCCACTTTATTTGGTTTGTTCTGCATACCTGAATAATCTTCTATCAACTGGCCACGTTGCTTACGCTGATTGCGCTTATCTTCGGTAACGTAGTTGCGTTTGTAGCATTTTTAAGTAACTTGTGGACGTTTCTTAATTATCGCTGATTCGCCACTAACCAACTTACTTCATATGGTAATTTGGCGAAGAGTTATGCCACCGTATCTGTATGCATTAGTGGATTTATTTTACTTCAGCTTGTCGTTTAAAGTGAATGGCAGTTGCTTGATATCCCCGGTGTGGCTGCGCCTGATGTGCATGTTGACAAGGTGCCTACCTGTCTATTACCCACTACCACGTCCATCCTGGCTCCAGGAGACAACTGTTCGTTGGTGGTGGGGACGGGGTGCACAGTCCTTGTGGCCGTGCTAGACTAGAAGAGCGGTTTCATGCATTCAGTGTGGAGCGAACTACGGTCCAGCCACTGCCTTGTGTGCGCTTGCTTTCCCAAATACAGCGTGCTTGTGTTTGCCTGTGAAGGAGTGTGGGCCGACTCCGTTGATGAAATGTGGCTCCCATCCACATGTCTTCCAGTCTTATTCCTTCGGGTTTACACTGGATATCGCGTGTGTGGTTGGAGCTGTGGGTGGTGCAGCGCAAGCCACCCATGGTCCCTCTGTAGGCGCAGGCGTCCTGTGGCTGGCCACAGTGACAGGCAAATCAGAAACCGGTTGCCGCCAACCATATAGTAGGTGTCCTCTGTAGTTACCAAGAGGCAAACCTCGCTTTTGACAATGAGTTACAATTACAAAATAAGTCAAGTAACCACACAGGTAGGTAGGGGCAATGTTCTACAATTGAAAAATGTTACAGAGGTGCAAATTAGGAATGTGGCACTAAAGTGAGCACACTTTTCCCCGAACACGTCAACTAATAACGGAGAAAACAAAGTACACAATAGGCTGGAAATGTCGGGTACCCAAACCGCCAGGTGAACTGGAGAATAAAATGGAAATCAGCAACCAAATCAACAACAGAAGCAGCCCCCCGAAACTGATGCTTCGCTGCTGCACATCCTCAACGACCTCATCAACATAACATTTGAGCTGAAGAGAAGGAACGCAGTACAACCGTTGCGCCGCAGTACAAAAAGATAAGATACATAAAAACAAGGTACTTAAAACTATAGAATACAACAAACGACAGGTAACATACGGTTTAGGAACATATGCATAGAAAGAGAGATTGTGGTAGGAGGAGGAAGATAAGCAGACTGGGGGGAGGAAGTAACTCATAACCCAAACGCCATCGAGATCGCCTTTTCGTCATGTCAACAAGTGTGTCCAACCAGATGAGTACATAGTTTAGGAGGTCTGTTGTATCGTCAGTTTAGTGTTGACCACATTAGGATATTGCATCGCGGTCACTCCACCATGCTGAGGCCACTGCTTCACTAGCGTACACCAAGCAGTACTTGCGAGCACCACTACAAGTTAGAGGTACCGGACCTAAAGCAGACAGCTCATCCTCTATGCTTCGAAGGTTGAGTGGTGAAATACTGGAGCGGTTTACCTGCGAAAATTGTTGAGATGAAATCGGTGCCGGAATTCAAGCAATTCCTGGACACCCACCTTGTGGATTTCAGATACAGGGAGCTCATTGCACCCGGATAGCATGTGTCGCAGCTGTAATAACAGCGGACGCTCGGGAATAAAGGACGTGATTCTGCGCACGTGCCCGAACTAATTACAATGGAGCAACACAGATGTATGTCTTTAGCTCTCTATTAAAACTATACCGTATTAATCGCTTGAACTCCTCTCCTCATTTCCCACCAACACTCCGGCGCGCAAACAACGCACATCGCAGGAGTCGATGTCCTCGCATGTGTAACACATGGCCCAGCCATAGGAACCTGGTGCGTGATGTGAGGGTGCTGGACGGTTCACTCGCTCTTGCTGCACCAAACACACGACGACGAACATGCTCATAGCCCATGCGGGGTTCTCACTAGATGTGATCTAAGAGGCGATTGTGTGGGCATTCACTGTCAAATGGGATTTGTTTGCCGCGCTGGACCGGAGCTAGCGATTCTACGACAGGATCATGTGGTCTCACTGTGCACATCTCTCTTTGAAAGCCATGCATTCCAGCAAGGGGTAGAAGAAAATCCATAACTTCGCACAGGATTTTGTGCCTCCCAAACGCAGGCAGACAAGCTAGCAGTTTCTCTATCCAACATAAATTTTTGTAGAAAGTGGAAGCCACGGTTAAACTTTACATAATAATCTGCCTCGACGGGGAATGGAACCCGGACCTACGGATTATCGGTCCGCTGCTCAACCAACTGAGCTACCGAGGGCTGACGATCAGGTAGCTCAGCGGACCGGTAATCCCTATGTCCGGGGTTCGATTCCCCGTCGAGGCAGATTATTGTGCAAAGTTTAATCGTGGCATCTACATTCTACAAAAATTACACTACTCACAAAACCACCAATAATCAAATTTACCATCGAGCTTTGAACATCTGGAGGACAGATACTTCGGTTCATTGGGAAGTGACGACTGAGTGAGCCAAGCTGAAACACCAGGACAGATACTGTGAGCTCATTGGCAATACGTCACGAAGCAAGCAAAGTCATGTGTTAAATTGCGAACCTGATCGTCAGTCCTCGGTAGCTCAGTTGGTAGAGCAGCGGACCGGTAATCCGTACGTCCGGGGTTCGATTCTCCGTCGAGGCACATTATTGTGCAAAAGTTTAAGCGTGGCCTCTACTTTCTACAAAAATTACACTACTCACAAAAAAACCAATAAACCAACATACATTGTCCACTGGTTAGCCAGATAAGCGTTACGGACGCTGGTCTTTACTATATGCGCCTAAGTGTGTACCGGTCATGGCTCCAATGCCAGTAAACATGGTAACAACCTGGACCCACTGCAGTAGGTGTTGACAGACATGGTTGGGGTCACTCAAATTCTGGTAGGCGATATACTAAATTCGCCACGTAGACGGCGATACTGGACATTGTATAATTTTATGGTCCTCAGCCTAAGTTGATAAGGAAGATGAAACAACTCTTGGACGTTTATCGTGGCTCTTCGCTGTGGATTCTCGAGCGCTGCGAGGGCATGCTTGTGCCAGGGAAGGCAGGCCTGGGTTGCGTATTCCACATGAAGCCGCACGAATGTGTCAAGTAAGTGTGAAAAGAAAGAGGGGTCAAACCACCCAAATGCCCTCCGCAGCATGTCAACTTGCTGGCTTCCAGCCAATGACGCCTCCGATTGTTCTGAGCAGTCCTGGATTGGTAGCCCAAGGTCGCTCTCCTGAGTGACTGCTTGCAGGACATGGTCTCCAAGTTTGAATGTTATATTCCACTGGTGGCGGATGTGGAGCACATTACACTTCCCTGAATTGAACTGGAGCAGATTGTGGAGTGATCACCCAAACGCTCTGTGCAGGTCTCGGTGAGGTGCATCGTAATCTGTTGGATCGGCGATCGTCCGCCACATCTTAACATCATCAGCAAGAAATCTAAGGAAATCAAACGCGTAAGTTCGTAACTGAACACGAGAAACAGACGCGGCCCCAGAACTGATCTTTGTGGAACTTCACATTCGACATAAATTGGATGGGACAGCGCACTTCGAACTCTAACCTGCAGTTTGCCGATTCCGTAGGAAATTCCTGATGAAGCCAAGGATAGAATTCCCAACTCCATAGCCCTAGAGCCTGTGAAGCAGAATGCGGTGGTTCAGTCGGTCGAAGGCTTTGGAGAAGTCGAAGTAAATGACATGTCCCTGTACCTTTGTCGGTCGCTTCCGTCTAACTACTGTGAGCAATCAGTAGGTTGGTGTTGGCGGAAACCGTGCTGCTCAGGTGTTATAATTCTGGGGTGTTCAAGATGGTTTACTAAATGCGCAGCGATGATTGCCTCCATCACCCTTGAGAATACATGGAGGAAAACCACTGGGCGATAGTTGGCGGGTTCCGAGCGATTGCCGCTTTAGGTAATCGGAGTGGTTATGTCATGTTTCCATTTGGTAGGCACAGTTTGCTCATGCAAGCACATTTGGAAGAAATGCGAGAATGTCTCGGGGAGCGTTGTTGCTGCTACGTTCAACGCCCTCGGGCGAATGTCATGGGTTCCGGGAGAACTGTAGGTGCGTAGTGAGAGTAGTTTCTTCAACAAATATGCTGTAGCAAAACTGACGTTAGTAAGTGCAGTGGATGTAGGTATGTAACAGTGGCGGACGTCTCGTTGTAAGGCTGGGGCATACTGCATCCGCAGGGTGTTGGCTGCTTCTTAAGCACGCTCTGCCAATTCGGCTGCAGTGTTAAGTGGGAGATACCGTGCTTCACTTTCCGAATGGGGTTAACATGCTTATATAGGGACGCTTTGTTGTTAGCAAAGG